ACTAGTAAAGCGCTATACAAATACAGGCCATTTACCATTTAGTGATCATGATTGTCTCCAACTGGTAGTTTCTCTTTGCCAGAGAAAAAGGAATTTCTTTGACAGCACTTATTGGACTGAGCAGTATTCAGAATTTTGGCATTTTGCATGATAATTACATGCAGTATAATTTTTAGGATTATGTTGACTGATTTTAAAATTTAAAAAATACCAACATTTAAATGTATAGATTTTTTTAATTGAATTTTATGCGTAGCCTCTAAAATATATTTCCCTACATAACAAGCTAAGAAAAACTGAATAAACACAGTTTAATTAGCTGACTATCTGCATATTTAGTCATTACAGATTTATTTATGGCAATAATTGTTGGGCATAAAAAATTATAACATTAAGGCCATTATGGTTCTGTCTTACAGTTTGCTGTTACTGCTCAAAAATTCACAGTTTCACTATATTTGCAGTCACTGTTGTCTTGTAGGGCAGTTTATGACTTTACCTGTCCAACAGACACCAGTGCACCTCTCGAAGAAGCCATTGAAGCACCAGAAAACAGTTTCCTCAGCCCCTCTAAAAAGCACATTTCAGAAGGATGAACATTGTAAAGAAATCTTTAGTCAGTATTTGTTCTCTTGAGTTTAAGGATTGTGGATTTTAAACTTGTGACAGAACATACAAAGGAAATAAAAATAAAGCTTTAATGGTACGTGATCTATAGAAGCTTTTATGGACTTTACCTTCCTTACAGACACGTAAGAGCCCATCAAACACATGAGCATAACTGTAAAAAGGGAAAAAACTATCTTACAATGTGGTTATTTGGAAAGAACTATAATTGTCTGTAATTATGATTCGGGATGTATCCCCATTTTTCGTGCACTTACTTTCTTCTGAACTCTGCTGCCATCTTGACGTCATTCTGCATTCTGTAAAGATGAGAGATTTCAAAGCCGGTTGTCTGTCAGCACGTCCAACCTTAACACTGATTGTCTTGCTTTTGTACTCTGGGAAAATTGACCATCTAAAATTGGAAGGCTTTTGTGCCACCACAACTTTTTTTCTTGTGTAGTTTGTACTTTTCCCAGCTATCTTTCTTTCACTTCACAACATTTCTACAGGTACCTACTTTAGATGTTATGTTAGAAACCCCTTAACTTGTGTTTAGAAATGTATATACACTCATACACACTTTGTTAGATAGTACCACGTTTGACCCCTTTTGCATTCAGAACTGCCTTCATGGCATTGACAAGATAGCATCGTGTCAGTTGCTGCAGATTTGTCAGCTGCACATCTATGATCTGCATCTCCTGTTCCACCACATCCCAAATGAGCCCTGGAGGCCTTTTTGATACAGTGCGTGCTGGACATGTTCAGCAACAATATTCAGGCTGCCTGTGGCATTTAAATGATGCTCAGCTGGTAATAAGGATCCCAACGTTTGCACCGCAAGCAGCAGCATGATGATACCAGGATGAATCAATCTTTTCCTGTTGTTTATGACTAATTCTGACCCTACTATCCAAATGTCAAAG